TTTTTGAGACAGATCTTCCACTGTCGCCCAGGCTGGAGTGTAGTGGTGCTGTTTTGGCTCACTGCAACCTTCGCCTCCCAGGCTCAAGCAATTCTTGTGCCTCAGTCTCCTGAGTAGCTGGGATTACAGGCATGTGCCACCACATCCGGCTAATTTTGTATTTTTAGTAGAGACGGGGTTTCACTGTGTTGTCCAGGCTGGTCTCAAACGCCTAAACTTGTGATCTGCCCGCCTTGGTCTCCCAAAATTCTGGGATTACAGGGGTAAGCCACCGCACTGGGCCCTTATTTTTTGTTTTAAGATGGAGTTTTGCTCTTGTTGCCCAGGCTGGAGTGCAATGGTGCAATCTCGGCTCACTGCAACCTCTGCCTCTGCGTTCAAATGATTCTCCTGCCTCAGCCTCCCAAGCAGCTGGGATTACAGGATTACAGGCACGTACCACCACATCCGGCTAATTTTGTATGTTTTAATAGAGACGGGGCTTCACCATATTGGTCAGGCTGGTCAGTAACTCCCAACCTCAGGTGATCTGCCCGCCTGGGCCTCCAAAGCGCTTGGGTTACAGACGTGAGCCACTACGCTTGACCTACTTATTTTTTAATGAGCCCTGCCCTGGCTTTGTCTCCCCATGCCGCCACCCCAGGATTTTGGGGACCCTGGATTGCTGGGGAGAGGTAGATCTCTGCTAGCATCTCCGGCTGAGTACACACGGGCTTCAATCAATACTCAGCTGTCTTCAAACAAACAGCTCAGGAAGTCCGGGAACATTATTCGACCACAGCAAACAAGAGAGCCAGCAGGAAGCAGGGGGCGGGGGGGGGGAGGCAGCCAGCCAGGAAAGCTAAAAACAGATCCAACCTGCAGCCAGAAGCAAATGGAAACATTAGGAGGCACTCAGCCGGCTCCCTGAGGACAGTGACAGGGGAACAGCCAGGACAGCAGGCAGGCATGCACCTCGGGCCGACGGTCACAGCTTTGCCAGGCCGTATCCTCCGCCTCAGCCGTCCTTTCCTCCTCTCCCCAAACCCTGCCTGATTAAAATTCCAGTCCACACCTACCTACCCTCTCATTCTTCAGAACATACCACGGAAGAGACAGCCTTGGGTTTGCTGCTTCTCAGCAAGACAACTGTCATCACTTTTTTTTTCTTTTTTGAGATGGGAGTTTTGCTCTTGTCACCCAGGCTGGAGTGCAGGAGTAACATGATCCCGGCTTACTGCAAACTCCACCTCCCGGGTTCAAGCGATTCTTGTGCCTCAGCCTCCCAAGTAGCTGGGACGACAGGTGCCTACCATCACGCCAGGCTAATTTTTGTATTTTCAGTAGAGACGGGGCTTCACCGTGTTGGCCAGGGTGGTCTCAAACTCTTGACCTCAGGTGATCCACCTGCCTTGGCCTCCCAAAGTGCTGGGATTACAGGTGTGAGCCACCGCACCCGGCCTGTCATAACTTTTGCTATGTACCAGGCACTGCTTTTTTCTTTTTTTTTTAATGGGGCCTCTGTCACCCAGGCTGGAGTGCAGTGGTGCAGTCACAGCTCACTATGGCCTCAATCTCCTAGGCTCAAGTGATCCTCCCTTCTTAGCCCCCAGAGTAGGTGGGACCACAGGTGCACGTCACCACACCTGGCTCATTTTTAAATTGTTTTTCAGAGATGGGGGTGGAGCTGCTGTGGACACGGGATGTGGTGGGACTGTGTCAGTGGGCAGTGTCACTGTGGTTGTGATCTGTGTATGGTGCTGCGTCCACTGGGCTTGCTCTCTGCACACTGCTTTCTCCATCTGAGAAACCTACCTTTCGGATTCAACACTGCCATTGAGCTGGATCTCCTCACCCCACTGACTACTGGGGATCTCTCTGGCCCTTGGAGTATCCATGGGGATAACGGGGACCAGCCTGGCACAAGCCCCACGGGCTGGTTTTTGTTTTCTTTTGAGACAGAGTCTTGCTCTGTCGCCAGGCTGGAGTGCAATGGCACGATCTCGGCTCACAGCAACCTCTGACTCCCGGGTTCAAGCAGTTCTGCCTCAGCCTCACGAGTAGCTGGGACTACAGGCACAGGCCCCCACACTCAGCTAATTTTTGTATTTTTAGTTGAGATGGGTTTTCACCATGTTGGCCAGGGTGGTCTTGATCTCTTGACCTCATGATCTGCCCACCTCAGCCTCCCAAATTGCTGGGATTATGGGCGTGAGCCACTCAGCCCGGCCTTTTTAAAGTTTTTGATTTAATTAGAGACAGAGTTTCACTGTGTTGCCCAAGTTAGTCTGTAACTCCTGGGCCCAAGTGGTCCTCCTGCCTCAGCCTCCCAAAGTGCTGGGATTACTGGTATTAGCCGCTTCGTCTGCCCTCTCCATGAGTTTTGATGAGGCCAGCGAGATCAGTCATCTGTAACCTGGGTCATATCCCCTCCCTCACGTCTCAGAAATCCCCACTGGCAGCCGGGCGCGGTGGTTCACACCTGTAATCTCCGCACTTTGGGAGGCCGAGGTGGACAGATTGCTTTAGGTGAGGAGTTCAAGACCACAGCCAACATAGTGAAACCCCATTTCTACTAAAAAATACAAAAATTAGCTGGGTGTGGTGGCCAGCGCCCGTAATCCCAGCTACTCGGGCGACTGAGGCGGGAGAATCACTTGAACCCAGGAGCTGGAAGCTTCAGTGAGCCAAGATGGTGCCACTGCACTCAGGCTGGGCGATGCAGCAAAAACTCCATCTCAAAAAAAAACAAAGGAGGAAACTCCTACTGCCTCCCCAGGGCTCCAAGAACTCAAGCCAGAGTCCTCTTGACTCTCTAAAGACCTAGGACTGGAGATGTGACCTCCTTCCCCACCTCTTGACCTCCCCCACTCCTCCCTTCCAGCAGCACTGGACGCTCGCTGCCCTTCCAGCTAGTCAGCCGGCCCCACCCACTGGGAGCCTCTGGCTCCTTCTTGCACTCAGGCATCAGCTGGGTCATCCCATCTCCAAGAGGCTTCCCTGCATCTTCCTCTCTCCCAGGCGCTCTGAAGGACATGGAACACGCTCTGAGGCATTGCCTTCTTCAGGAGCTGATCAGTCACTGCAAGGCTCAGGCTCAGTAGAGCATCAGCTCCGCCAGGACAAAGATAGTTTCTCATCTTATTCATGGTGGTCTTCTCAGAGCTGAGAATAGGGCCTTGGCCTGGAGCAGTGGCTCCTGCCTGTAATCCCAGCACTTTGGGAGGCTGAGGTGGGAAGATGGTTTGAGGCCAGGAGGTCAGAGCTGCACTGAGCTGTGTCGCATCGCTGCATTTCAGCCTAGGCAACAGAGTGAGACTTTGTTTTGGTTTTTTGTTTTTTGGTTTTTTTGAGACGGAGTCTCGCTCTGTTGCCCAGGCTGAGTGCAGTGGCATGATCTCAGCTCACTGCAACCTCTGCCTCCTGGGTTCAAGCGATTCTCCTGCCTCAGCCTCCCAAGTAGCTGGGACTACAGGTGCATGCCTCCACGGCTGGCTAATTTTGTATTGTTAGTAGAGACTGGTTTTTCACTATGTTGACCAGGCTGGTCTCAAACTCCTGACCTCAGATGATCCGCCCACCTCGGCCTCCCAAAGTGTTGGGATTACAGATGTGAGCCACCGTGACTGGCGCCTGTTTTTTTTTGTTTGTTTGTTTTTGTTTTTAAAAAGAAGGAAAGAAGAGAAGGAGGAAGGAAGGGAGGAAGAGAGAGGGAGAGAGAGAGAAAAAAGAATGAAAAAGAGGAAAGAAAAAGGAAAAGAAAGGAAGGAAGGAAGGAAAGGAAGGAAGGGGACAGGGAAGGGGAAAGGGAGAGAAGGCCCGTTCTATTGGAGAGGCTCGGGGCGTGTGTGGGGTGCAGGAGTGAGCAGAAGGGATGGACACATGGATGGACAGGTGAACAGACAAACTTCTTCCTACACAAGTTAGAGGCGAGAGGGAAAAGGCAGCATGGGCTGGGGACAAGGCCGGGGGTCCGGTCATGTGTCCCCCTGTCCGGGTCCCCTGAAATGACGTCCCCAGGCCCCAGGCTGCAGCTAGCGGGACATTTCTTCATCTTCTCCCCTCCCCCCAGGCACCTGTGGCCTTCCCCAGACTTCAGGCCCCTCTTCCCTTGCCAAGAATTAAGACTGTGGCCTCAGCCCCACCAGAAGCCACCTCCAGCCCCCAGGCCAGGGAGGGGGCTACAGAGTAAGTGGAGGGCCTGGAAGGGTGCTCTGGGACTCCCAGGTCTAAGATAAAGGGGACAGGGAAGAGGAGAAGCGGGAAAGGCTGGATGCCGAGACTCAACCACCCTCTCAAACGCTCTCCACTGCAGAGACTTCTAAAGGGGAACTCCCCTCCAGCTGCCCTGGGAGCCCAGGACCCTGCCCCCGCCTGAGGCAGGTGAGTCCACTCTCCTAACCCTCCCTGGCCCACTCCCCATCCTCCACCTCCTCCACCTCCTCCACCTGCAGGTGCCCTAATCTAACCCACTCCTCTCTCCGCCTGCAGGGCCCTGAGATGTGCTGCTAACGGGAACCCCAGGGTCTGGAAGGGGGTGGTGAATAGGAAATAAACTGCCAAGCCTGCTCTGTCCTCCAGGGTGCAAAGAGTGCAGTGGCCAGCAGGGGGTAGCACAGAGCAGCAGGCACTGGGAAACGGCAGTCCCCAGGCCTGGTGCCCACCTGACCCACAGGAGTCCAGACCCCAGCCCTTCCTCCCTCAGACCCAGGAGGTCCAGACCCCAGCCCCTCCTCCCTCAGACCCAAGAGTCCAGGCCCCAGCCCCTCCTCCCTCAGACCCAGGAGTCCAGGCCCCAGTCCCTCCACCCTCAGACCCAGGAGTCCAGGCCCCCAGCCCCCTCCACCCTCCGATCTTCTAATGGAATCTGGGATCCGGCACAGTGCTCACACTTGTAATTCCAAGGCTTTGGGAGGCCAAAAGGGAAAGACTGAGCCTGGGAAGCCAACGTTGCAAGGAGCTGTGATCACACCACAGCACTCCAGCCTGGGCAACAGGCCGAGACCCTGTCTTTAAAGAAAAAAGAGGAGAAAAAGGAAACTGGGCCCCCAGGCTTCTCTGTGATACCCAGGAGTCCTGCTCTCAGGATTTGGGAGTCTAGAATCCCAAGTTCTCAGAGAATCAGGCATCCAACCTTCCCCCTCCATCACAGGAAAAAAAAACATCCCTAGACCCAGCCCCAGACATCCAGGTTAAGTCTCTGGTGAAAATGCCCACAGATTTTCCTGATGGCCATCCACCCTGCCCTGCCACGCTCTGCTCTTACCCCTCTCTCTGTCCTTCCTTCCTCTCTGACATCTTTCTCCCAGAATAACTGGTAATTTCCAGTCTAACTCTTGCTGAGGAAGAAGAGATACCACCTCATGACTCATCTTGGAGTGACCGAAGCCTCCCTCCACCTTGTTTAAAATGCTGGTCAGGAAGCCTCGATCACTGTCCCACTAGGGCTCACCTTCCAGTAGAGAGAAGAGACCTGTACCTAGATAGTGATGACCCAGAGTGAGCACGACTGGGGTAGGGAATCCCAGGGGGTTGTAGGAACCTAGCGGGGGCAGCTGACTCAGCCTGGGAGGTCAGAGAGTGCTTCCAGGAAGAGGCAGTGTCTGAGTGGAGACTTCAAAGATGATGAAGTCAGATGTGGTGGCTCATGGCTGTAATCCCAGCACTTCGGAAGGTTGAGGCAGGCGGGTCGCTTGAGCTCAGAAGTTTGAGACCAGCCTGAGCAGCATGATGAAACTCCACCTCTACAAAAAATTTTGGAAAAATTAGCCAGGCATGGTGGCACATATCTGTAAGTCCTAGCTACTCACGAGGCTGAGGTGGGAGGATGGCTTGAGCCCGGGAGGTCAAGGCTGCAGTGAGCTGAGATTACACCAGTGCACTCTGGCCTGGGCAACAGAGCAAGACCCTGTCTCAAAAAGGAAAAGAAAATTTTTTGAATGATGAAAAATATTCCAACGGACCAAAGGCTTGAAAGAATGTATCACAGATTTAGTTCCGAGCAACAGACGCCACCTCAGGGGCAGAAAGGGAATTTATGGAAAGGATCTGGGGTCGCTCGCAAAATCCCAGGAGTGAACTGGGAATCAGGATTGGGAAGTGAGCAGGAAGAATCCTGGCTGCTGGCCAGTAGTGGTGCCACAGCCACAGTCACACCCAGAACCCGTCTGATGGGGTCATGCTAGTGATGACCACAGAACATTGTAGTTGTCTTGCTGCCTCTGCTGCCCCAGGAACAGGATGTGGCTGCTCTTTTCATTAGCTGTGGCCAGTAACAAATCACTTCACAACTTAGCCGCAAACAGCAGCAATCATTGCATTAGGTCTTACGGTTGCTGTGAGCCAGGATTTGGAGAAAGGCTTGGCTGGTTCGTTCCGGCTCGGGATGCAAATGGTGCAATCAGTGATGCTTGAAGCAGGGCGGCTGCAGGTGCCGGACAGGTGGGCGTCTCTTTGTGGTCTCAGGGCCTCCCCCACCATGTGGTCTCCGCACTGGTCAGCTTGGGCTTCCCCACAACATGGCTGCCTCAAGGTAGTCAGACTGTTTATATGGCGGCTGAAGACCCAGGCAGAAGCTACTTGGCCTTTTCTAGCTCAGTTTGGGGATTCCACAACTTCTCTTCAGCTGAATTCTGTTGGTTACATGCAAATCACCAAACTGCACAGATTTGAGAGAAGGGTGCCATGGACCCCACCTCTTGATGGAAAGAGTATCAGGCTCTGATTGTAGAAACACATGTGGGATGAAAGAGATTGTTGCAACGTGGTGAAACCCCATTCCTACCAAAAAACACCTGCACTCACAGCTACTCAGGAGGCTGAGGTGAGAGGATCACTTGAGTCGCGGAGGACGGTGCTGCAGTGAACCACGATCATGCCATTGCACTCCAACCTAGGTGACAGACCAAGACCCTGTCTCAAAAAGGAAAAAAAAGATTGTTGTAGCCATCTTTGGAAAATAGAATCTGTCCCAGTTGCCATGCATGGCTGAAACAGATGGCCAATTCCTGATTCTTTTGCAATATTCAAAAGTGTGGAAGGGGCTGGGTGAAGTGGCTCATGCCTGTAATCCAACACTTTGGGAGGCTGAGGTGGGTGGATCACCTGAGGTCAGGGGTTTGAAACCAGCCTGGCCAACATGGAAAAACCCCATGTCTACTAAAAATACAACGTTAGTTGGGCGTGATGGTACATGCCTGTAACTCCAGCTACTTGGAAGGCTGAGGCAGGAGAATTGCTTGAACTTGGGAGGCCGAGATTGCAGTGAGCCAAGATCACGCCATTGCAGTCCAGCCTGGGCAACGAAAGTGAAACTCTGTCTCAGGAAAATGAAAAGGTAAGTCTGGCCAAGCGTGGTGGCTCACACCTGTAATCCCAGCACTTTGGGAAGCAGAGGCAGGAGGATCACTTGAGCCCAGTTTCAGAAGAGAAAGTCTTACAAGTTAAAATATATGAGGATGGCCAGGCATGGTGGCTTATGCCTGTAATCCCAGCACTTTAGGAGGCCAAACTGGGCATATCATGAGATCAGGAGATCAAGACCAGACCATCCTAACACAGTGAAACCCCGTCTGTACTAAAAATACAAAAAATTAGCCAGGCGTGGTAGCACGTGCCTGTAATCCCAGCTACTTGGGAAGCTGAGGCAGGAGAATCACTTGAACCTGGGAGGCGGAGGTTGCAGTGAGCTAAGATCGTGCCATTGCACTCCAGCCTGGGCAACAGAGCAAGACTCCATCTCAAAAACAACAAAATACACACAGATACACACACACACACACACACATACACACACACATCTATACGTGTGACAGAGTAGATGGAATGAGAATGTTATTGAATTCAGTCCACAAGTATTTACTCATCCCCTCCTCATGCCAAGCACTGTTCTAGACACTGGAGATGCAGCGGTGGACAAAAGCAAGTTCCTGTTCTTTTGCAAATTCTGGACAAGGTAAACAAAAAATAACCAAACATAATTTATCTGGCAACAATAGATGCTATCAAGGAAAATGCAAGCTAAGAGAAATAAGGAGTGGCTGGGATAAAAGGAGTTGCTATTTGATTTGATTTGATTTTGTCTGAGACAGGGTTTTACTCTTTCACCTAGGCTGGAGTGCAATGGTGCGATCACAGCTCACTGCAGCCCTGACCTTCCAGGCTCCAGTGATGGATCCTCACGCCTCAGCCTCCCATTTAGCTGGGACTACAGGCATGCACCACCACACCCAGTTAATTTTTGTATTTTTTATAGAGACAGCATTCCGCTATGTTGCCCAGGCTGGTCTCAAACTCCCAAGCTCACGTGATCCTCCCGCCTCAGGCTCCCAAATTGCTGGGATTACAGACGTGAGCCCCTGAGCCTGGCCTGGACCTCAGCTTTTACCCTGAGTGAGACAGAAGTCCTGGGAGGACCCTGGGGCAGAAGAGTGACATGAATTGACTCACATTCAACAGGGATCCCTCAGGCTGTTTTGTGAGACTAAATTACAGGGGACAAAGGCAGATGATGTTACGAGACTGGTTTCTGCAAGTCTGCAAGGGGCCACGGCTGCTGTTTTGATGTTTCTGACTTTTCTCCTTCATACATGAGCCGTAGAGTTGGCCTTCCTCACCTAGAGCCTCAGCTGGCTAGGTTTTTTTTTTTTTTTTTTTTTTTTT